AAAATGTTTTGAGAAACAATGTACAAATGCGCTTTACACAATTGATGTGTGTATGGATTGGGATAACAGTTGTATGAGCCCCTAATAAAATGTTAAACAAAAAAACAATTGATGTATGTATGGATTGTGATAAGAGTTGTATGAGCCCTCAATAAAATGGTTTAAAAATATAAATAAATAAAATAAAATCCTCTAAGGCAGTGGTTCTCACTCAACCTGTTGGTCGTGACCCCTTTCAGGGGTCAAACGACCCTTTCACAGGGGTTGCTCAATTCATAACAGTAGCAAAATGAGTTATGAAGCAGCAACAAAAATAATTTTATGGTTGGGGGGGTCACCACAACATGAGGAACAATGCTAAAGGGTCGTGGTGCGGCATTAGGAAGGTTGAGAACCACTGCTCTAAGGCCTCAAATCGTGTTCCTTTTCAATGTTGTTTGTGTTTGGGGAACAAAAACAATCCTGAAGGGGCAAGATGAGGGTTGTAAGGAAGAAGAGGTAAGGTTCTCTTAGAACTGCCCTTGTGATGGTGGAAGGATTAGCAGGCACATTGTAATGATAGAAAAAAGTCCTCAATGTAACTTTTCTATCCTTTTTCTCATCAATTTAGCTTTCGTTTTCCTTAAAATTTCTTCCTAAGAACCCCCTAAGATCATCCTGTGCTATTTGAGAATATCTATAACAAATCAGTCATAACCTTCAGAGCAGACCCATCTTGAATTTAAATAAGACAAATGTATTACTGAGGGAATTTGTTTACAGCCACCAATGATCAGAGACGTTTCATAAATATATTTTGTTTGAAGTAAGCCTGTGCATGTTTAAATGAGAACTCTAGTAGTCATAGTTTTTGCTTACCCCTATATATCCAGAAGAAATAAAAGCAGAAGGCAAACAGAAACCTGTACCTCAGTGTTCATCAACAGATGAATGGATAAACAAAAAGTGGTGTCAACATACAATGAAATATGACTTGGCCATAAAGAGAAATTAATTCCTGATGCATGCCACTACATAGGCGAACTCTGAAAATATTATGCTGAGAAAAGTAAGTCCATCAAAACAAAACAAATACAATATTTCACTTATATGAAATAAGCAAAGTATATAGAAACCAAAGATGAATACTGATTACCAAAGATGGGGGAGAGAGGCAAAGAAATAGTATTTGTTCAGGAAGCATTGAATTTATGTGAATGGTGGTGGAATATTTGGGAAAAGGTTGTCAAGAATGGTTGCATAACACGAAGAATGTCATTTATTTATGTGGAATTATTTATGTAGAACTTGTTGAATTGGACTGTCTTGCTGTATATAATTTCAAAACTAAAAAAAACAAACTAAACATTTGTTGACAAATTCCCAGGAAGAAGTAGACAAAACTCAAGCTATATTTTTAGATCTTAATTTAATTAGATCCTCAAGTGGAAAAGTTTTAGTCACCAGTCCGAATATTCTGGCCTTTTAGATACATATTATACACATATAATTCCAAAGAGTTGTACACTAAATTCCACAGTGAACAGGAAAAATCATGAAAAAACTTGTGAAAATATTACAAGGAACAACCTCAACAGGCCACATGTTTTAAAAGCAAAACAACAGCTGTCCCAATACCCACTTCTTCTTTTAAATTATGATTTGGGTAAAAGATTAAAGTAAATTGATTTTCCATTCAGCGGGTCACACATTTTCTTGTTCTGTGACTTTGCAGTCCTCACAATAGAACAGCACTCTTCCATCTTCCTCCCTGTTTAATGCTTATTTTTTTAAACAGTTGTACTGACATCTAATGTTTTCTGTCTGATAGCAATGCTATCCACATCCCACAGCTATGGTCAGAGGGGATTCACCAGAAACGTAACCCATGTGGGGACCTTGCAAGTGGATTTTGGGTTTCCACTGTCATCCGAAGCCTTCTGGAAACTGGTTGTTCACAATTTAAGCTCTGATGCCAATCTCACATTTGGATTTAGGCTTTATTTACAATCCTTGCATGACACAGGTTGGTATACTCTCTGGCTCCAGTTTCTTGATAATATTGAGATTACCTCTTCCATTTCTAAGAATCATTTCAAACCTAGCAAGATGGCAAAACTGACCAATTCCCATGTAAGTTCCATACAGCTCATTTGCAAGGTCTCACTGCACCATGGGTGTCATGTGCCTTATTTACATTATGAGTAAATTAATTAATACCCTCAGTGGGTGCATTAGGTCGTGTTCTCCAGAGAAGCTAAACCAGTGACATGTACATAGAAAGAGATTTATATCAAGAAGTGGCTCACACAGTTAAGAAGCTCATAACTCCAGTCTGGTTTAAGTATGTGGGTCAGATCTAGAGGCTGACAAACCAGGAAGCAGGAATACAAAGCAGGAAGATCACAGGCTGGTGGATGCAAAGTCAAATGAATCTTAGGTTGACAGGCCACTGATGGCTACTGGGACTGGAAGGCAATATGGCAGAAGGTCGACAAATCAGATTCGGGAACCAGAGCTGGCAGCAGTGGTGAGCTTTCTCATGGAGTCTGCTTAAAAAGGAGTAGGTCGCACCCAAGCAGAGTCTTTCTTTCAATTGTATCAAGGTTGTAACATAATCAAAGGAGCTTCACTCCACCATAACTGCTGGCTGCTCCCAGAGTTGACTTTGCTGCACTAGATACCACTAAGCCAGTGATTTTCAACCTTCCTAATGCTGCAACCTTTTAATGCAGTTCCTCATGTTGTGGTGACCCCCCCAACGGTAAAATTATTTTCCTTGCTACTTCATAACTGTAATTTTGCTACTGGTATGAATCAGGTGACCCC